GGATGAAGTGCCGGACCTGGGGAAGTTTAGTCATTCTAAAAAACTTTTTTTATAAGCCTTTTTAAAATTTCATACATTCATGATTTGGAGACTTTGACTAGCATAATTTGCATTAGTAACGAATTAAAATCTAAAATTTAATTGCATTAGTTTTAGATGCATAGTACCATTCATAACTGTAGGATCACTTAGGAATTTCTCTAGCTATCGATCCCAAATTTCAATGTCTAACTACCCACCCATCTTTCATATGGACTGGATAACATAGATTTAATACGATTAGGGGGTTTTAGCTGGCTTCTTTTTTCAGTCAAGGAATAAGTCCAGGACTACATTAGTTAGGTCGTAGATGTTAGTGTCGTGCGTATGACACTACATATTTTATAGATTTAGGGTTTAAAGGTGAGTGGTACGAGTGAACCACTATACACCTTATTGGTGGGTAAGCTTTTCTTTCTTTTGAAAGCTATAAATCATATCCATCTGCGTCACACATATGACGCCACCTCCTTCTTTCTCTCACGCTTGCTTTCTCCTCTTTTTCTTCAGTTTCCACTTCTTCGAGCCAACTGGATGATGACTGAACCACGTGTGATTGATTGAACCAAATATTGGGCCTCTCTTCCCCTTTGATTATGAAAGCCTAGAAATCCCTTGTGCTAAACCCATTCGAGAAGATAATATAACATCCTTAATCGAGAGTCTTCTTAGACCAAGGTCTAAGATGTAATTAACTACGGGGGCTTGCGCCCGTAGGAAATCGATCCCCACAATCAAATAAACCCCATTCGAGCTGACGTATCGAATGGGAAAAATCTCATGACTTTGATTAGGTTATACATATTATTACCCATCGAGCTGTGTAGGAGAAATCTGCTATCCTCCACGGTTAATCGTATGTATAATCTCATCTGCCCTCCCATTGGCCTGCTTGTGTCAAGTGTAAAGGTCTACGATCGTTTTGTCCAACAAGATAGTGTGGTCGTACTCTTTGCATTCGAACTCCATGAGCAGAATCCTTTCGGAGACCCACACGTATTTACTATGCATTTTGTGCGTATCTTGTTAGTATTTTGTGAGCACTTTGTGAGCACTTTGTGAGTATTTTTTGAGTACTTTGTGAGTATCTTTTGAGTATTTTGTAACCATGCTATGTGATTTGTAGCGTGTTATATGATCTCATGAGTTTTATGTGTTAATTACAAGCATGCATAGGTTCAAGTCAAACGACATATGACCATCACATTCATATTTAGCTCAAAACGACATCATGCATGTCTTTATCTTAATGGCTATTTACACTTGCTTAATTATTTATTTTGCTTACAAATACTGTTTCCTTTTATGTATTCTTTCCTCATGTTCGAGTTGAATTTTAAAGTTGTAGATTTTAGTTGTGTTAGATTAATTCTTATCTAATTACATCTCTTTATGAATAGTGTCTATGCTCACCCTATGTTTTTCACCTTTCTATTTGTTTGTGAGGTACAATGTGTGATGCATATGTATTGGTCAGTGGGTCATTTGCAAGTAAACTCTTGAGTGGGCACGTCATGGTCAGGTATATATAACTTTATAGTCACGTAGAGACCTCTCAATATATATGTCGAATGGTTACATACTAGCACCAATGTTTTAAAAATCGGACCAGACTGGCCAGTTCGACCGGTTCAACCGTGAACTAGTTTGAAGGCCAGTCTGGAATAGCTTTGAAAACCTGTTGTGCACCAAACCGGTCAAAACTGATTTGAACTGCCGGTTCAACCGGGAACCGGCGAACCAGTCTCGATTTTCTAAAATTAGCTGGTCAAAAGATTTTATTTAAATAATTAAATAAATTATTTAATATTAAATAAATGTTAAACTTAATCAATTAATATAAATATTATATTTTAAAACTCTTAAATAAATATTAAAGACTAAGATTAAAT